AGGGCGGGGAGCGGGCAGCGCCCGCGCCACGAGGCCTCCCCTGCCACGATGTCCTCCTCCTCCCCCGTCACGGTGTCCCTTTCCCATCCTAAAATGAAGGCGAGGGACAGGCCCCTTAGCAGGCGGTGGGGAAGCAGCACTTCCAGGCTTTGCCCCTGTAGGACAAGGGGGAACAGTAGTTATCTGCTTAAAATTAACTGGATCTGGCTTTGTAAATTGTTTTTGCTTCTGTATTAGAGATGCAAAACAGCTACAAAAAAATCGCAGCGCCTTTCCCCATTGCTGTTTTTAATAATTGCAGCCATGGTGGTCGTGGTGCCCTTTTCAGAGCAGCAAGTGCTGGCCAGGCAGTGCCCGAGTGCTCTGTGGGGTAACGGGGGAAACAGCAATGATGTCCCAAGTTTAACTGGTCTTATAAAGCCCAGGCAGGAAAGAAGAAAAAAGAACTGGTTTAAGAGTATAGTAAGAAAATATATTGGAATGGGGTTACCATCATCTTAACATAGGTCAGCAGACATGAAATCTGATGTGATGGCCAGGAAGGCAGGGTGGGGGCAGAGGGGTTTGAGCCAGTTAAACTGCAGCCTTTTCTGAAGGCACTGTTTTTTTCTGCTTCCAGTGTGCTTTTGCATGTGTTTCCTGCCACGGTTTTACAGGATGCCTTAAGAAAGAGGCCCATCATTATCATCATATAGTACATGCAAAGTTGTTTCTTTTTGATGACTAAGGAAATTTAAATTTAAGCTATGTTTTAACATTAGCTGGTAGTGCTGTTTGTGGAGATACATTGTTACTTACTTGGGCTTGCACAAAGTTTTGGATCATGACCTGTAAGCATCTGAAAGCTAACCTAGCAAAATGCCCTGCACCAGTGCCTAGTTGTTATGGCCTTGATTTGAATCATAGTGGTCGCTGTGTGGATATACAAGTTACTTGTGAAAATATATTTTATTACAAAGCATCAGTGTATTGGCATTCACCTCTTGCTCCATTCACCTGTATTACCTTTTAAGGTTCATTCTAGTATAATGTGGATCTTAAGCTAAAGAGGCCTTCATCACCTAACCTCTCCAGGATGGTCAGTAAAGTAATAGTCACAACGATTTGTTAATAAATTTGTGATAAGCTGGAATTTGAGATGAAAGTATGCCTTTAGTAAATTTAGTACAAACATTCAGTTCCCCAGGAAGATTGCATTTTTTTCTATCTTAAATTCAATAGATTATAGTAATACTATATATAATTTTCTTTATAAGGTGAAGTTTTCAGTTCCTACAATGTTGCCAGCCTTTATGTTGTTGCACTGAGGTTTCCATGCCAGAAAGTTTATAAATTTTTATACTAAATGAGTCTTCTCTTTCAGAGCACAAGTTTGAGAAAGCGGAAACAGGGACATGGTCTTCCTGCTTACAATGATTTGGTTAAGCAGCTTTAATAACAAAGCCAGCACGGACTCCCTTTCCCTTTGCACCCTTTTGAGTACAGCGTAGAAAATTCAAATTTGGACCCACACATTTAAGATTTTCTTAGTGTTGCATGGCAGACAGTGCTTGTGCAGTAAAGATAACAAACAAAAGGAATGAATTTCTTACCTTCTATGTTCCTGCTGTTTTGGTCTTTAATTGAAAGAGCCCATACTGTTTTTTTTGTAGGGGAGGCTATGTCTCTGATAGAATTGGAGTGTCATTTGGGCAAAGTGTGTTGGGAGGGCCTGGCACCGACAGCTGTGCCAAGACTCCTCACTAACCTTACTGCAAAAATGAAACCAAAGGGAACTAGTGCACCCTTAGTGGTTGTGATTTGGTGTAGTGATCAGAATTTCTTTTATTTCTCTCCTGTCTAGAGAGAGCAGCTTCCGCTTGCGGATGATGACAGTGAGAACGGCAGTGACAATGAAGATGAACAGCCTCAAGTGGTAACACTGAAAAAAGGGGACTTGACTGCAGAAGAAGCGATGAAAATTAAACAAGAAATCAAAGAAGCCTTAAAATCAAATGAATCAGGTGAATTTCAAACTACTAATTTCTTGCTTTGTATAGCCAAAGAGAGAAAACCCATAAAGGGGAGCTTGATATTTGCTCAGTTTTCTACCATTTAATATTTCCTTTGATAAGTTGTTTTGAATTTTTTGGCTAAATAATTTGCACTTGTGAGTCCTAATTTGAAGTCATTGAGTATGTATCAAAGCTGTCTGGCTTTTTATAGTGTTGCAGTTCCGTGCTTGATTGTGCATCATTCTACCTCCAAATACGACCTTAATTTTTTTGTTCTTTTTTTTCCTTGTTATGGCATGTCATTGTCCTGGTACATAGTCTTTTGACTTTGAACTCATTAATTAATTAATTTAGCCAAATTTGACAGTGGAGTGTCTTAAAGGTAATTGTACGAGTTCATGAAAGAGGCTGGGCAGAAGGAGGAAACTCAGGTTAGTGCTTCAGTGGAAAGAATGGCAGATGTGTAATCTTGGTAATGTGTTCACTTAACTGACTGGTCCATGTTTTCACTTGCTTAAAATAATCCTCAGTATATGTTGTGACTTGCAAATATATTATGCAAAACTAAATTGATTAGTTGAAAATAACAGATGATAAAATAGTGCCAACAAACAGCAAGGTATAGGAAAAATATTTGATATGAAGAATTAAAAAGTTTTGTCCAAGTTATTTAACAGGCTTTTCAAGAATGGAAAGATGGAAGTGGTGTGGGAGATGTCGCTGCAGTTAGAAAATAAAGACATGAAACTATAGCTGGTGAAAACAGTTACATTAAGAATTTCTGTCAATATTTATCATTCTGATATGGTCGATGTAAATGCTTTGAGAGTCCAAAAACTTCCATCATCACACAGGGTGTGATGAAATGTAGCTTTAGTTTTATTTTTTGCTGACAGAAGACATGACAGATTAAAGGTAGATATTACTGTCTCTGGCAGAAATGTCTTGACAATTAAGAATATAGAACTGGAACCTCACAAGTATAAAATAGAAAAGCGATTCATAGAAGCGGTGGACCTTTTCCTTGCTTAGCTATTGTTGCTATTTACAAGGGCTGTAAATAGAGTTTAGAGCAAATTGAGAGGCTAGCACATGGCTATCAATATGACATCCTTAGCTTCTGTCTTTTTCTGCCATTTGGATTCGAAAATTCAGGTTTGTGCTATCCCTATGTAGAAGCATGTGCTAAATTTTAAAAGGTATAAATGGAGAAGTCAAATAACAATAGTGGGAGAAAATACTTTGAGAGTCTTGCATTTTTGAAAAGGAAATTGATGAAAACCTAATTTTTATAAATGTAGGTTAGCTTGAAACTAAATAAAACTGTCTGATTTGTTTCTGCAGGTAGATATGTATATGTAAGGTGTAACCAGGTAGTGAACTGAAGGCTGTGTTTATATAATCTAAAGTCCTCTGAGAAAATGTGTTCAGCTTCCAGCTTACTTCCTGATCTCTTATTATTGAAGTGTAATGCATGTGCTTGGTGTTGCACTTTGTAAAGTTGTCACATGATTTCTTTTCAAAAGCGGGATCACCCTCCTAGTATTGGGAGAAATTTCAACCTATTGGAAAGAAATGGCACGATACTTTCTAAGCATTGGTTTCCTTTTCGTATAAGCAACTTGAATTTTGAATGGTCACAGTAGGAGGAAAAATGATTTTGTAGGGCTGGGCAAAAAGAAGTAGTTGTCCATGAGAATCTATTGAGGTGGAGTCCATGCTGTGAAAAAAGTCCAAAAGAGCTACCAAGCTGAATACACAGTATGAACTGGAAGTGTGTTTGAACAGAGCAGCTGAACTTCTTTCATGGAAAAAGACATTCCTAAGACACAATTGTATGTAGCGAGGATAGCAGTACTGAGGCCCTGTAGGACTTTGGCACCTCTGCTTATTACCCTTTCAGCCCTTGAGTAATAACTTGCATTTGTAGGAAAAAATCCACAGTAGTAGGTTAACAGGAGTGTTGAATCACTCACTGTACTGTGGGGACTGCTGCCCTCTTCTACCTTATTGTGCTGCAGTTCTTTCATCTGCCTTTGCTGTTACTATGAGGTCTTGGCCTCCTTTTCATTTTTTTGGCTTATGGGAATAAACAGGGTGAGCGCCACTATGTTCCTCTGCTACAGAGAGGACTCAATGTGAGATTTTCAATGAAGGTGTGGGTGACTATGCCACAGCTTGCTGAAGGCTTCTTTGAGTCTTTGTCCATCTCTGCACTGTCGGTCAGACCTCTAGATTTAAATTCTGATTTCTAATCAGAGGCAATTATTTAGACAGCTGGTTACTTCCAGTTTAATAAACAGACTTTTGAATAATGTGTTATTTTTTTTTTATAATTGCTAATTGTGAAAATGGGAAGCATAAAGAAAGTTTGATGCTGCATGGTTTGATTACATTTCTTGTTCCTTTGATGATTATCCAAGAGTTGAAAGTGAAATTAATTTAACAGGTACTAGACCATAATGTATAACCCCAAATTTCCCAAATTATGGGAAGCTGAAAAGGTAGCAGGGAAGTAAATTTCCCAACTGATGATCTTCCTTTCCACTATGTTGACATCAGTGCCAAGGCATTTTGGTAGATTGTACATAACGTGCTGCAAACTCTCTGTTGTGAATAGAGACTGTTTTTCGAAACATGGAAAGTACTCAGTTTTAAGGTTACTTTAACCCCTTTATTGTTGGGTAACAGTAGTGATTGTCTTCATTTGAAGGTCTTTGTCTTCAGGCTTTGGTTTGGGATTGTCCTGGTTTCTAGGATTTTCCATATCACATTTACATCCTTTCTCCTTCATTTTCTTCTACAACCAGTTTGACACAGATACACCTTTTTTTTTTTTTTTTTTTAATTTCAGGCACCAGCAGTTGCTGTGACTTGCATTTTCATCTACAGACAGTAATGAACTGACTACAGTAACACTTTTGCATTAGTTTGGCAAAACCAGCTGGTTAATGTCCTAGATGCACTTAGTTGCCTCCTAAGGTGTAACAAAATTTAGTGAAGCTTGTACATTGGCTTTTGCAAGTGTAGTCACAGGGAACTTTTTTATTTAGTACTGAACCTTTCCTATAAGAGAAAATGCCCTTCCATATTGAAGTATTTTTATCCATCAAAGACTGACTTAGAGGCTTTTAAAAAAGAAGTAATTTGTTTATCTACAGTCATTTTGCTTAATATTGTTATGCAACATTTTACAAATTGTTACTGTTGGTTCAGAGACAAAGAAAAATGGTCTTATGAGAAATCAAATTTGCATAAAAGAAAAGATGGCAATTACTGCAACATACTTTATCCCAGCATTCATTATAGTCTATGGAATTGATTTTTCTACTGCTTTTCTAGTTCATCTGGCCTCTGGGACACTCAGATCATGCAAATGACCAAACTTGGCAGAAAGTGTCCTTATTCATTCAAAGTCTTGTAATAGTATTCTTGTCTCATTCTATATGCTGGGGTTGGGGGAGGACAGGAGAGGGGAGAGGCAAGGAGAATACAGTCCATGCTCTCTAGGGTGTTGGAGCTCTTCTTTAGCTTAAGCAGCTGTTACATCAGATACATACCACAGAG